ATTCTGTTTAATCCTTTTCCCTCTTTTTTTTTTTTTTTTTTTTTTTTTTTTTGAGAGGTTTTCGCTATAGGGCGCATGTGCTCGCCAGAAAGACAGAGAGAGACAAAGACATAGAAGGCGAGAAATCACCCCCCAGGGGGGATGGCCACACTGCAATCCCTTCTCCTCCATTCTCCTCTTGGGATCTTGGGCACGCATGCACACGTGCCCAGCGTGAGTTTAAGCCGTCGGGTCCGGCACTTGAACCGTGGTCGACTACGTGGGAGTCCAGTGACATAGCCATTACACTAACTGCTGGTCCCTTTTCCACATTGCTTAAGTCATTTATTCCAAGGTAATTTGTAGTTTTGGTTCCATAATGATGTCTTTTCCCTCACCACGTATTTTAATTTATTTTTGTTTAAATGTTTTATTTGGGGATAATTTTGGACTTATAGAAAAATTCTGTGTATCCCCACCTAGTTCCCACTAATCTTAGTATCTTCTGTGTTTCTGGCATATTTGTCAAAACTAAGAAACAGTGTTGATCCATCACTATAAACTAAATTCCAGACTATCCTCATATCACCAATTTTTTACTAATGTTTTTCTGTTTCAAGATCTTTTCTGGGATGCTACAGTATATTTAATAGCTGATTACACCTTAAAATCTCTGTCATATATGTAGCTACATTCTTTTTCTTTATTTTTTAAAGAATAATTTACTTATTTAATTTTACTTGTTATTTTTAAATTTGACCAAAGAGAGAGAGAAAGGGAAAGTGAGAAAGCAAGCCATAGGTCTGGGACTCCAACTGCTGTTGGCTATGTAGCAGTACCATGTGTTAAACTACCATGCCACCTGCCAACCCCTACATCCTAGTTCTTATTCCAAATGCTGTTTTTCTGTGTCTTTTTATTTTTTCTCACTTTTTTTAGGCTTGTCAGAGGTACATCTGTTTTCATTGGTTTCTTTTGAAAATTTACTTTTGTTTTACTAGTTTCACTGTTTTTTTTTTCTCCCTTTCTCTTCTTTTTTTAAAGTGAGCAAGACAGAGACAGATATTTCCAATAGGGTTCCCATGACATGATTCGCCTCAGCCTTAGCTAGTCTTGGATTATGCCCGGCATAGTCAGGGAGGTCTCTGGATGCAAAGCCTGAGTCTTCACACACAGGGCACCCTTGAAGAATATTTGTGTGCTACCAAGCAGCCCCTTTTTCTTTCTTTCTTTTTGTTTATTTTTTTAAGTTTCTTTCTTTGATGAAAGAAGAGAGAGAGCAAGACAGAGTCTTGAAAGAATCTCAGATCTTCCCCATGGCCTTTCAGCCAGCCAGGATCACGTGTTCACGCACGTTCAGGTTGACCAAGGATCTGAACCTAAGGCTTCCTGTATGGCTCCAGTATTGCCCAGCAGCCTCCTACCTCCTGTACTGCTACAGCTGAGGTGGCTTTGTTTTTATTTTGAAAAATTTCCAATAATTAATTATTTTTAATTTTATTTATTTATTATTATTATTATTTCAAAATTTACTCTAGAGCATGTGTCCTCACGAGAGAGTGAGAGAGAGAGAGAGAGAGAGGAAGAAAGCAAGCCGCCAAGCTGGGACTTGAATGGTGGTTGGCCATGTGGGAGTCTAGCGTCCTAAACATCATGTCACCGGCTGCCTCCTGTTTTGTTTTTACGTGTTTGTTTATACATTTACATTTATTCTTCCTTCACCATAAATTGGTATAGATTTTGTCTGGTTCAGTATTTACTGTTACAAACTGCTACCACAGAGAGCTCTTGTTTTGTATAACTTAGGGCACCTGTGTGAGTTTGTTAGGTAGATTCTTAGAAGTGAAATTGCTATATCCAAAGCTATGTGCATTTTACATTTTAATAAAAGTGGCCAAATTACCTTCCATCAAGATTCTGTGTTCAGTTTTTATTTTAGTTTTAGCTAAATGCACAATTGTTCCTTGAACAAGCAATGAACAGTTTCTTGTGACAGAATAAGGGGATACTTAGTTTTTCTGTCAAAGAGATGGTGAGAGTAATACTATATGTTCTCTGTCAGTTTAACTGTGTCTGTTATTTTCCTTTACTTTTTCATTCTCCTGTTCAGTTACCGTCCTTTCTCCATGCTACGAGATAAAGAAGAAAGGGAACAGAAGCCTTGAAACGAAAAGTTTCAGTCTGGAAGTGAAAAGGATTGAGATTTCCTAACACAGTATTTTATGTGTTATTTTTAATTACCCTCATTTTAGATCATGTAATCCTTTGGTATTTGTGCTTCTTTTTTTTTGACAAGAAGAGACTCAATTATGAGCCTTATGATTAGAGAATTGAGTGGGGATATAGTTTTGGTTGTTTATTCCTTTCTCTTTAAAATGTTACTGTGTTAGCACTCAGTGTTGTGGTCACTACAGGAAGGAACATACTTGATTTTATGAGAGTAGGCTAGGTAAGTGTGGATAGGGAATGATCAGATTATTATTGGATGTTTAGTATTTAAATATCACGAGTTAGGCATATAACCGAGTGTTATCCTCTGTTAACATTGGCTAGTGCAGCACCTAGAAAGTGGCACACACGTCGCCACATGCTTTATATATCAGGTCTCTAATCCTTGGGACCTGTAATGCAGGTAGAGGTGGCTCTATTTTATAGATGATGAGACTGAGACTCGGGGACTCAGTGTGCTGTCCACCATCACAGCTCAGCACTTTTAGCTATAGGGTGTATGTGCTTGCCGGAGACACAGAGAGACAGAGTGAGAAATCACCCCCAGATTACAGATCATGCTGCAATCCCTTCTTATCCATTCTCCTCCCAGGATCTTGGGCACACACACACATGTCCCCTGTGTGAGGTTTAAGCCACCAGGTCCAGGACTCAAACTGTGGTCGACTCTGTCCAGTGACGTAATCATTACGCCAACTGCTGGTCCCTACAGTGCAGCACTTGAATGTACTCTCTTGTTTGTTTCCTGACTTTCAGCAGGTTTTTTTAGGACATAGAGCTTATATTAAAGAGATACTATATGTAATGTTGATTGTGTGTATTATTACATGTCCCTTGGTCATTTTAGGGGCACGCAAACAGCCTTCTACAGCCAAAAAACTATTCAGAAGTATGCAGAAACTGTCAGGAAGCATACAAAGCTCTGAGTAGTCTGTATAGTGAAATGCAAAAAACGAATGAACATGAAAATAAGGCTGAACCTGGAACACATTTGTGCATTGATGTGGAAGATGCAGTAAGTACTTAGCTTCTGAGATGGTAACTATTGCATGGTGGTGTTGAAGGTATTAACCCCTTTTGGAGGAATATTGGAATCTGCATATAGTATCTTCAACAAGAAATAGCTAGTTATGAAGTAGCAAGTTTTACAGTATCCTGGTCTTTCAAACTAAAATGGAACTTAACACAGGTACTTCGTGAGTGAGTTGATAACTTGATATATTTTGTTTTTTTAGAAGATGAACTGTGTGCCATTTTCAGAGATATGGATATATGTTTGTATTTCAGTTTTTTAGGCACTTGTTGCTGTTTTAACACAGTTTCTGAGTTTCACTCTTAATGTATTTCAGAAGACATGCCTAGTCATTTCTTATTCCATTGGTTTCTTTATTTTTTAAAAAATATTTTAACATCTGAAAATATTTGAGGCTATCTCCCTTCACTAAAATATAAGTCAAACGAAGACAAAGACCTGGTCTCTTTTTGTTTGCCTTTGGTATTTTTTACAGTGCCTGGCATAGAGTTGACTCTTTTTTTTGGAGAGATTTTTGCTATATGGCGCGTACACCCACCAGACAGACAGAGAGAAAGAAATTACCCCCCCCCCAGGGGGGATGGTCACGCCACAATCCCTTCTCCTCCATTCTCCTCTTGGGATCTTGGGCACGCACGCGCACGCGCCCAGCGTGAGTTTTAAGCCACCGGGTCCAGGACGCGAACCGTGGTCAACTATGTGGGAGTCCAGTGACATAGCCATTACACTAACTGCTCCATCCCTAGAGTTGACTCTTAGTAAATATGCCATTAAATGGATGGCCAGCTCTGTTGCATAGCCTGCCTTTACATAGGGAGCCGCTAGATGGCGATCATTCCTTTATACATGATATTGAAATATTGAGGCATTAAAAGGAAGCAACTATTGGTTTAAACTAGAGAACTTGAAATCAAAATTGATGGGTAAATGGATGAGAATGATGAATGCAGGTTATTATAGTTGGTCAGGGGAACTATAGTGAAACAGAATTATTCACGATGCTTAAAAGCACTTAGAAGGATGCACTGTAAGAATTTTCATTTGTTTTTGCTGCTCTGTTCCTATTGACTAGAATAGTACCTGGTTTCTAGTAGGCTCTCAGTAAGTAATAACTATTCCTTAATGAATAAAATAAAATATTTTTAAATAAAATAAAATTTCTATTTATACAAATTTTCTTTTTGACATTCTAGAATACTTTGATCAGTATAATGAATCTAGAATATGAAATTTCTTTTTTTCACTCTTAAAAATTTATTGCTAAAGAATATGTGCACTCATGAGAGAGAAAGTACTCCCTAGTTGGGCATGGTCACACTGCAGTCCCTTCTCCATTTTTCCATCCCGTCAGGATATGGGACATGTATCCAAGCCATCAGGGCTGGTATTTGAACCATGGTTGGCCATTTGGGAGCCAGCTCCCAGTACACAGCACTTAACCGCTGTGCCATGGGGCCAACCCTAGAATATAACATTTCTGCATGGATATGATTTATATAATGACTGATTGTGAACTAGCTTGTTTCCCTGGCAGAATAAACTATCTTCAATGGTCAATAGATTTTTAGGGGGTGTGTATTTAGCATAAATTCTGGGTGCCTGTGTAGATGTTAACAAGATAATTGTATGAGCTAAAGATAAAAATAAAATAGAATATTATTATTTCTTGTTCCAGATGAACATTACTCGAAAACTTTGGAGTCGAACTTTCAACTGTTCCGTCCCTTGCAGTGACACAGTGCCTGTAATTGCTGTTTCTGTGTTCATTCTCTTTCTGCCTGTTGTCTTCTACCTTAGTAGCTTTCTTCACTCAGAGCAAAAGAAGCGTAAAGTTATTCTACGTAAGTTTGTTTTTACAATTATTCACTTATTTAGATTAAAGTCTGTATTTAAAAAATTTAGGCCTGTTTTTAGAAATGATATATACTCTGAGAACTCAGTATATTGGCCTGAAATGATTCTCTTCCATAAAATTTATAGTTAGGCCTACTAATGAAAGAGACGTGTGACAGTTTTATAAGCGCGATCAAAAATCAAAGGGCAGTATTTTTCAGATGATTTAGTTGGGGAAGCTGGATTACCCCTGAATAAGGCTGGTAAAAATAGAGCAATGGCAACAGAGCTTTGCACTTCAGAAAGAGCAACAGTAGGGGGTACTGACAGCTCTCAGGCCCACTGCAGTCATGATAGTAACACCTAAATATTCAGCAGGCAGGAAGAGACTAGCTAATGGGCAGACAATTTCTTTCTTTATTTTGGAGAGATTTTTGTTATACGGTGCATGTGCTTGTCAGAAAGAGAGAGAGAGAGACAGAGAGACAGAAAGCAAGAAATCACCCCCCAGGGGGGATGGCCACC